TTGACCCCATTGAACCCCATTGACCCCATTGATCTCCATTGAGGCCCATTGAGCCCCATTGAACCCCATTGAGCCCCATTGATCCCCACTGAGCCCCATTGGGGCCCATTGACCTCCATTGAGCCCCATTGAGCCCCATTGATCCCCATTGAGCCCCATTGGGGCCCATTGACCTCCATTGAGCCCCATTGAGCCCCATTGAGCCCCATTGGGGCCCATTGACCCCACTGATCCCCATTGATCTCCATTGAGCCCCATTGAACCCCATTGACCCCATTGAGCCTCATTGACCCCATTGAGCCCCATTGATCCCCACTGATCCCCATTGAGGCCCATTGAGCCCCTCATTGACTCCCCCATTGATCCCCCCATTGAGCCCCATTGACCCCCATTGATCCCCCCATTGAGCCCCATTGATCCCATTGATCTCCATTGAGGCCCATTGAGCCCCATTGATCCCCATTGACCTCCATTGAGCCCCATTGGGGCCCTTGAGCCCCATTGATCTCCATTGAGGCCCCATTGATCCCCATTGACCCCATTGACCCCCACTGATCCCCCCCATTGATCCCCATTGATCCCCCCCATTGATCTCCCCATTGAGCCCCATTGGCCCCCCATTGTTTGTCACTAATAAAGACCCATTTCTACTACTGAGCTGTTTGGGGGCGGTCACTTGTGGGGCTGGAGGGGGGGGGGGGGATATGGGACTCACTGCCCCACATACAGCCCCATAGCCCCATATACAGCCCCATAGGCACCCCATATAGAGCCCCATTGCCCCCCTGATAAAGTCCCCCCAACCCTATGTATAACCCTATAGGAGCCCCCCCCAACCCCATAGACCCCCCTTTCACCCCCATAACCAGCCCCATAGACCCAGCCCCATAACCAGCCCCATAGACCCCCCCCAGCCCCACATAGAGCCCCATAAGGTCACAGTGGCACATATTTGGGGGGGGGGGGGGGGAAGGTCCTTTATTGGCCCCACACTTCCCCCCCCCCCAACTCCCGCGCCCCACATCCCCCCCCATAGCGCTATGGGGCAGGGGGGGGCCCGATCCCTGAGTGGGGGGGCACAGGGAGGTGATGGGGGCTCCCCATAGCCGCTATAGGGCATCCCCTATAGGGCTCAGAGCCCCTCCAATACTGACCCCCGGCCCCCCCCATAGGGGCCACCCCCCAGCCCCATAGCGCCCCATAGAAGACCATTGCCATAAGCCAACCACCCGGGGCCTATATCCCCCATATGGAGCCCCATGGCCCCATTGCTGCCCCATAAATAGCCCCACAACCACCCTATAGAGCCCCATTGCTGCCCCATAAATAGCCCCACAACCACCCTACAGAGCCCCATTGCTGCCCCATAAATAGCCCCACAACCACCCTATAGAGCCCCATTGCTGCCCCTTAAATAACCCCACAACCACCCTATAGAGCCCCATTGCTGCCCCATAAATAGCCCCACAACCACCCTATAGAGCCCCATTGCTGCCCCATAAATAGCCCCACAACCACCCTATAGAGCCCCATTGCTGCCCCATAAATAACCTCATAACCCCAGCCCTGCTCCTTATAGAGCTCCATAGCCCTACTGCTGCCCCATAGAGCCCCATTCCTGACCCATAAGTAGCTCCATAATCCCCCTATAGAGCCCCATAACAACCCCATTGCTGCCCCATAGCGCCATTACTGCCCCATAAATCCCCTATAGAGCCCCATAACCCCACTGCTGCCCCATAAACACCCCCCGACAGAGGCCCATAGTGGCCCCATAGAACGCCAGACCCTCCCCATAGAGCCCCATAACCCCCCCATAGAACCCCATAACTACCCTACAGAGCCCCATAAGTTCCCCCATAGCCCCCTATAGAGCCCCATAACCACCCCATAAGCCAACTACAGAGCCCCATAACCCCCTATAGAGCCCCATAATCACCCCATAGAGCCCCATAACCACCCCATAACCCTCTTATAGAGCCCCATAACCACCCCATAACCCCCCTATAGAGCCCCATAACCCCCCATAGCGCCCCATAACCCCCCCATAGAGCCCCATAACCCCCCATAGCGCCCCATAACCACCCCATAGAGCCCCATAACCACCACATAACCCCCCTATAAAGCCCCATAACCCCCTATAGCGCCCCATATCCACCACATAATCCCCCTACAGAGCCCCATAACCCCCCTATAGAGCCCCATAACCACCCCATAGCACCCCATAACCACCCCATAGACCCCCATAACCACCCCATAGACCCCCATAACCCCCCCATAGCTCCCCATAACCCCCCCATAACTACCCCGTAGATCCCCATAACCACCCCATAGCACCCCATAACCCCCCCCATAGCACCCCATAACCCCCCCATAGCACCCTATAGCACCCCTATAGCTCCCCATAACCCCCCATAACCACCCCATAACCCCCCTATAGCTCCCCATAACCCCCATAACCCCCCCATAGCTCCCCATAACCCCCCATAACCACCCCATAGCCACCCCATAACCCCCCATAAGCCCCCATAACCACCCCTAGCACCCCATAACCCCCCCATAGCACCCTATAGCACCCCTATAGCTCCCCATAACCCCCCATAACCACCCCATAACCCCCCCATAGCGCCCCATAGCTCCCCATAACCCCCCCATAACCACCCCATAACCCCCCATAGCCCCCCATAGCGCCCCATAGCCCCCCCCATAGCACCCCATAGAGCCCCATAGCCCACCCCATAGCGCCCCATAGCCCCCCCCATAGCACCCCATAGTGCCCCATAGCACCCCATAACCGCCCCATAGCGCCCCATAACCCCCCCATAGCTCCCCATAACCCCCATAACCCCCCCATAGCCCCCCCATAGCTCCCCATAGACACCCCATAGCACCCCATAGCGCCCCATAGCGCCCCATAACCCCCCCCATAGCTCCCCATAGACACCCCATAGCGCCCCATAACCACCCCATAGCGCCCCATAACCCCCCCATAGCGCCCCATAACCCCCCATAACCACCCCATAGCGCCCCATAGCGCCCCATAACCACCCCATAACCCCCCCATAGCGCCCCATAGCCCCCCCCAGCTCAGGTGAGCCAGGGCCGGATGCAGCGCTCGTAGATGGGGCGCAGTTGGTGCCAGGCCGTGTGCGGGACCCCCGGCACCGAGCACCCCCCAAGTGCCCCCCGGGCGGCCAATGAGCGGAGCCCAAAGGAGTCCTGGGAGTAAACCTGGGGCAATGGGGGGGAATGGAGGTAATGGGGGTCAATGGGGGGCAATGGGGAGCAATGGGGTAATGGGGGCAATGGGGAATGGGGGTCAATGGGGAGCAATGGGGGCAATGGGGTAATGGGAATGGGGGTCAATGAGAGTCAATGGGGGCAATGGGGGGCAATGGGGGGAATGGGGGGAAATGGGTCAAATTGGGGTCCCCAGCTGCCCCACAAGCAGGGTCTCAATGGGTCCCCCCACCCCGGAAGTGTGGGTCCCGCCCCCCAAGTGTGGGTCCCCATGGGTCTCTATGGGTCCCGCCCCCCAAGTGTGGGTCCTGCCCCCCAAGTGTGGGTCCCCATGGATCTCTATGAGTCCCACCCCCCAAGTGTGGGTCCTGCCCCCAAGTGTGGGTCCCACCCCCCAAGTGTGGGTCCCCATGGGTCTCTATGGATCCTGCCTCCCAAGTGTGGCTCCCACCCCCCAAGTGTGGGTCCCCATGGGTCTCTATGGGTCCTGCCCCCCAAGTGCGGGTCCCACCCCCCAAGTGTGGGTCCCCATGGGTCTCTATGGGTCCCGCCCCCCAAGTGTGGGTCCCCATGGGTCTCTATGGGTCCCGCCCCCAAGTGTGGGTCCTGCCCCCAAGTGTGGGTCCTGCCCCCAAGTGTGGGTCCCCATGGATGTCTATGGGTCCCGCCCCCCAAGTGTGGGTCCTGCCCCCAAGTGTGGGTCCCGCCCCCCAAGTGTGGGTCCCCATGGGTCTCTATGGGTCCCGCCCCCCAAGTGTGGGTCCCCATGGATCTCTATGGGTCCCACCCCCCAAGTGTGGGTCCCCATGGGTCTCGCCCCCCACGTGTGGGTCCCGCCCCCCAAGTGTGGGTCCCGCCCCCCAAGTGTGGGTCCTGCCCCCAAGTGTGGGTCCCGCCCCCCAAGTGTGGGTCCCGCCCCCCAAGTGTGGGTCCTGCCCCCAAGTGTGGGTCCTGCCCCCCAAGTGTGGGTCCCGCCCCCCAAGTGTGGGTCCCGCCCCCCAAGTGTGGGTCCCGCCCCCCAAGTGTGGGTCCCGCACCTCTTGCGCCTGCATCTCCCGCACGGTCTCGTTGGCATCGTAGAAGCCAAAGAAGCTTCAAGGGGACAAAGCCGGGGGTCAATGGGGGGGGGGGGGGGCAGAGGTTGGGGGGCGCCCCCTAAGTGTGGGGCAGGCTTGGGGGGCAGCCCCACACCTCGACTGCCAGGGGGTGATGACGCCGTCGTCGGGGCCCCCGATCAGCACCAGGCTCCGGATACGCAGCAGGTTCCGCTTCCAGGCTATGGGGAGATGTGGGGCAGGGCCTATAGAGGCTATGGGGAGATGTGGGGCAGGGCCTATAGAGGCTATGGGGAGATGTGGGGCAGGGCCTATAGAGGCTATGGGGTGATGTGGGGCAGGGCCTATAGAGGCTATGGGGTGATGGGGGACAGGGCCTATAGAGGCTATGGGGTGATGTGGGGCAGGGCCTATAGAGGCTACGGGGTAATGGGGGGCCCATAGGGGCTATGGGGAGATGGGGGGCAGGGCCTATAGAGGCTATGGGGTGATGTGGGGCAGGGTCTATAGAGGCTATGGGGTAATGGGGGGGCCATAGGGGCTATGGGGAGATGTGGGGCAGGGTCTATAGAGGCTATGGGGCGATGGGGGGGGCCCATAAGGGCTATGGGGAGATGGGGGGCACAAGCACTATAGTGGTGATGGGGCATGGTGGGTCTAGCTATGGGGTACTATGGAGTGCCTATGGGCTCTATGGGGCTCTATGGTCTCTATGGGTCTCTGTGGGCCTCTATGTGTCTCTATGGGTCTCTATGGGTCTCTATGGGTCGCTATGGGTCTCTATGGGTCTCTATGTGTCTCTATGTGTCTCTATGGGTCGCTATGGGTCTCTATGGGTCTCTATGGTTCCCTATGGTCTCTATGGGTCTCCATGGGTCTCTATGGGTCTCTATGGGTCCCTATGGGTCGCTATGGTCTCTATGGGTCTCTATGGGTCCCTATGGGTCTCTATGGGTCGCTATGGGTCTCTATGGGTCCCTATGGGTCTCTATGGTCTCTATGGGTCGCTATGGGTCGCTATGGGTCTCTATGGGTCGCTATGGGTCTCTATGTGTCTCTATGGGTCTCTATGGGTCTCTATGGGTCTCTATGGGCTCTATGGGTCTCTATGGGTCTCTATGGGTCTCTATGGGTCTCTATGGGCTCTATGGGTCTCTATGGGTCTCTATGGGTCTCTATGGGTCTCTATGGGCTCTATGGGTCTCTATGGGTCGCTATGGGGCTCACCGGATGCATTGGGATGCAATCTCTCATCGTTGAGCAGGGCGAGGAAGTTGCTGCTGTTCAGGTAAAGGTCCCGGTGGTGGGGGTCTGGGGGGGCAATGGGGGTCAATGGGGGGCAATGGGGGTCAATGGGGGTCAATGGGGTCAATGGGGGTCAATGGGGGTCAATGGAGATCAATGGGAGTCAATGGGGGCAATGGGGCTCAATGGGGGTCAATGGGGGTCAATGGGGTCAATGGGGGGCAATGGGGGTCAATGGAGATCAATGGGAGTCAATGGGGGCAATGGGGGCAATGGGGGGCAATGGGGGGCAATGGGGGTCAATGGGGGCAATGGGGGGCAATGGGGGGCAATGGGGGGCAATGGGGTCAATGGGGGGCAATGGGGGCAATGGGGGTCAATGGGGGTCAATGGGGTCAATGGGGGTCAATGGGGGTCAATGGAGATCAATGGGAGTCAATGGGGGCAATGGGGCTCAATGGGGGGCAATGGGGGTCAATGGGGGTCAATGGGGGGCAATGGGGGTCAATGGGGGTCAATGTGGGTCACTGGGGGCCAATGGGGGTCAATGGGGGTCAATGGGGGTCAATGGGGGTCAATGGGGGGCAATGGGGGTCAATGGGGGGCAATGGGGGTCAATGGGGGTCAATGGGGGCAATGGGGGGGGGTCAATGGGGGGCAATGGGGGGCAATGGGGGTCAATGGGGGTCAATGGGGGGCAATGGGGGTCAATGGGGCAATGGGGGCAATGGGGGCAATGGGGGGCAATGGGGGGCAATGGGGGGCAATGGGGCAATGGGGGTCAATGGGGGCAATGGGGGGCAATGGGGGGCAATGGGGGTAAATGGGGGTCAATGGGGGGCAATGGGGGTCAATGGGGGCAATGGGGGTTGTTTTGGGTTGATGTGATTTTGGGTTCATTTTGGGTGATTTGGGGGTGTTTTTGGGGTGTTTTTGGCTGTTTTAGGGGTGCTTTTGGCTGGCTTGGGGCTGTTTTGGGGGTGTTTTTGAAGTGTTTTTGGCTGTTTTTGGCTGTTTTGGCTGTTTCTGGGTGGTTTCGGCTGTTTTCGGCTGGTTTTGACTGTTTTTGGGGTGGTTTTGGGGTGTTTTTGGCTGTTTTTGGTGTGGTTTTGGTGTATTTTTGGGGTGTTTTGGGGGTGTTTTGGGGTGTTTTTTTGTGTTTTGTGGTGTTTTTGGCTGTTTTGGGGGTGTTTTGGCATGTTTTTTGCTTGTTTTGGGGTGTTTTTGGCTGTTTTGGGGGTGTTTTTTGCTGGTTTTAGGATGTTTTTGGCTGGTTTTGGGATGTTTTTGGGGTATGTTTGGGTGTTTTGGGGGCGTTTTTGGCTGTTTTTGGCTGTTTTGGACCTGTTTTGGGCTGTTTTGGGGTTGTTTTTGGGGTGGTTTTGGGTGTTTTTGGCTGGTTTTGGGGTGTTTTTGGGCGTTTCTGCATGTTTTTTGCTGTTTTTGGGGTGGTTTTGGGGTGTTTTTTGGGTGTTTTTGGCTGGTTTTGGGTTGTTTTTGGCGTTTTTGGGGTTGTTTTTGGCTGTTTTCGGGTTTTTTTCGGCTGTTTTTGGCTGTTTTGGGGGTGTTTTTGGCTGTTTTTGGCTGTTTCTGGGGTGTTTTTGGCGGTTTTCTGGGTGTTTTTGGCTGTTTTTGGGGTGTTTTGGGGTGTTTTTGGTTGTTTTTGGCTGTTTTGGGGGTGTTTTTGGGTGTTTTGGGGGTGTTTTTGGCTGTTTTTGGCTGTTTTTGGCTGTTTTTGGCGTGTTTTTGGCTGTTTTTGGCTGTTTCTGGTTGTTTTTGGGTGTTTTTGGCGTGTTTTTGGCTGTTTTTGGCTGTTTTTGGGTGTTTTTGGCTGTTTTTTGGGTGGTTTTGGGGTGTTTTTGGCTGTTTTTGGCTGTTTTTTGGGTGTTTTGGGGTGTTTTTGGCTCTGACCGTTCCAGTAGTTGCAGATGGAGACGCCCTGGCCCAGGGGGGTGTAGCACAGCCGGTACAGGTTGGACTTCATGTGCCGGGGGAAGAGCCACTTGAGGTAGTCGGTGTCTGCGGGACCCACAGCGACCCATAGGGACCCATAGGGACCCATAGGGACCCATAGGGACACATAGCAACCATAGAGACCCATAGGGAACCATAGAGACCCACAGCAACCCACAGGGACCACAGAGACCCATAGGGACACATAGGGACCCATAGAAACCCACAGAGACCCATAGTGACCCATAGCAACCATACAGACCATCGGGACCCATAGAGACCCACAGCAACCCATAGGGACCCATAGAGACCCATAGAGACCCCAGAGGGACTCATAGACCCCATAGCAACCCACAGACCCCCTAGCAACCCATAGAGCCCACAGTGACCCATAGACCCCACAGTGACCCATACTGACCCATAGCGACCCATAGACCCCACAGCGACCCACACTGACCCATAGCGACCCACAGACCCCACAGCGACCCATAGACCCCACAGTGACCCATACTGACCCATAGCGACCCATAGACCCCACAGTGACCCACACTGACCCATAGCGACCCACAGACCCCACAGCGACCCATAGACCCCACAGCGACCCACACTGACCCATAGCGACCCACAGACCCCACAGCGACCCATAGACCCCACAGTGACCCATACTGACCCATAGCGACCCATAGACCCCACAGCGACCCACACTGACCCATAGCGACCCACAGACCCCACAGCGACCCATAGACCCCACAGTGACCCATACTGACCCATAGCGACCCATAGACCCCACAGTGACCCACACTGACCCATAGCGACCCACAGACCCCACAGCGACCCATAGACCCCACAGCGACCCACACTGACCCATAGCGACCCACAGACCCCACAGCGACCCATAGACCCCACAGTGACCCATACTGACCCATAGCGACCCATAGACCCCACAGTGACCCACACTGACCCATAGCGACCCACAGACCCCACAGCGACCCATAGACCCCACAGCGACCCACACTGACCCATAGCGACCCACAGACCCCACAGCGACCCATAGACCCCACAGTGACCCATACTGACCCATAGCGACCCATAGACCCCCCAGTGACCCACACTGACCCATAGCGACCCACAGACCCCACAGCGACCCATAGACCCCACAGCGACCCATAGCGACCCACAGACCCCACAGCGACCCATAGACCCCACAGTGACCCATACTGACCCATAGACCCCACAGCGACCCACACTCACCCATAGCGACCCATAGACCCCACAGCGACCCATAGCGACCCATAGACCCCACAGCGACCCACACTGACCCATAGCGACCCATAGAACCCAGAGCAACCCAGAAACCCCATAGTGACCCATAAGGACCCATAGTCCCCTATAGACCCCATAGGGACCCACAGACCCCCATAACCCCCCCCCCACGAGCCCCATAGGAAGCCCCATCAACCCCCCATAGGGACGCCCCATAACCCCATAGGGGCCCAAGAGACCCCCATAAGGACTCCCATAGGGGCCCCATAGCCCCCCCATAGGGCCCCATAGCCCCCCATAGGGCCCCATAGCCCCCCCATAGGGCCTCATAGCCCCCCATAGGGCCCCATAGCCCCCCCATAGGGCCTCATAGCCCCCCCATAGGGCCCCATAGCCCCCCATAGGGCCCCATAGCCCCCCATAGGGGTGCCCCATAGCCCCCCATAGGGACCCTCATTGCCCCCCATAGGGGTGCCCCATAGCCCCCCATAGGGGCCCCATAGCCCCCCCATAGGGCCCCATAGCCCCCCCATAGGGCCTCATAGCCCCCCATAGGGCCCCATAGCCCCCCATAGGGCCCCATAGCGCTCACCCCCATACTGCCCCATCTGTGGGGCCGCCAGCGAGATGAAGCTGTGCACGTTGTGGTTGGGGGTCGTGGCCAAGAGCGCCCGGCAGATGAGGCCCCCTGCGCCCCATAGAGCCCCATAGAGCCCCATAGAGCCCAGTGAGCCCCATAGAGCCCCATAGAGCCCCATAGAGAACACAGAGCCCCATAGAGCCCCATAGAGCCCCAGTGAGCCCCATAGAGCCCCATAGAGCCCCAGAGAGCCCAGTGAGCCCCATAGAGAACACAGAGCCCCATAGAGCCCAGTGAGCCCCATAGAGCCCAGTGAGCCCCATAGAGAACACAGAGCCCCATAGAGCCCAGTGAGCCCCATAGAGCCCAGTGAGCCCCATAGAGCCCCATAGAGCCCCATAGAGCCCAGTGAGCCCCATAGAGCCCCATAGAGCCCAGTGAGCCCCATAGAGAACACAGAGCCCCATAGAGCCCCATAGAGCAGCATCAGGGACCCTCCCATAGACACCCCCCCCATAGCCCCTCATTGACCCCATAGCCCCTATGGGTCCCCCACTGACCCCCACTGATAGCCATGGACATAAGAGTGCCCCATACATCCACATTACCCCATTGGCCCCCATTACCCCCATTGACCCCCATTGACCCATAACCCCCATTACCCCCCATTGCCCCACTGACCCCACTGCCCCATTACCCCCATTCCCATCGCCCCATTGACCCCCATTCCCCCCATTGATCCCATTGCCCCCCATTCCCCCCATTGACCCCCATTACCCCCCATAGCCCCACAGAGCACATTCCCCCCATTGCCCCACATTGTCCCATTGACCCCCATTCCCCCCATCGCCCCATTGCGCCCCATAGCCCCCATAGCCCCATTCGCCCCCACTGCCCCCCATTCCCATTGCCCCCCATTGCCCCCCATTGCCCCCACTGCTCCCATTGCCCCCATTCCCCCATTGACCCCCATTCCCCCATTGCCCCCATAGCCCCATTTGCCCCCACTGCCCCCCATTCCCCCCATTGCCCCATTACCCCCATTGACCCCCATTGAACCCATTCCCCCCATTGACCCCCATCGCCCCATAGCCCCATTCGCCCCATTGACCCCCATTGACCCCACTGCTCCCATTGCCCCCCATCGCCCCATAGCCCCCATTGCCCCACATTACACCATAGCCCCCATAACCCCATTACCCCATTGGCCCCCATTCCCCCATTGACCCCCATTACCCCATAGCCCCCATAACCCCATACCCCCCATTGACCCCCATTGCCCCCCATCGCCCCATAGCCCCCATTGACCCCCATTCCCATTGCCCCCCATTGCCCCCACTGCTCCCATTGCCCCCTATTCCCCCACTGACCGCCATTACCCCATTGCCCCCATTGCCCTCATTGCCCCCATTACCCCATTGACCCCCATTACCCCATTGCCCCCCACTGCCCCCCATTCCCATTGACCCCCATTCCCCCCATTGACCCCCATCTCCCCATTGTCCCATTGACCCCCATTACCCCATTGACCCCCATTACCCCATAGGCCCCCATAGCCCCATTCGCCCCATTGACCCCCATTGACCCCACTGCTCCCATTGCCCCCCATTACCCCCCATTACCCCATAGCCCCCATAACCCCATTCCCCCCATTGCCCCACTGCCCCCATCGCCCCATAGCCCCCATTGACCCCCATTCCCCCATAGCCCCCCATCTCCCCATAGCCCCCATTGACCCCCACTGCCCCACTGCTCCCATTGACCCCCATTGTCCCCATTACCCCATAGCCCCCCACTGCCCCCCATTCCCATTGCCCCCCATTCCCATTGACCCCCATTACCCCATAGCCCCCCACCGCCCCCCATCTCCCCATAGCTCTCACCCTGGCTGTACCCCACCAGGTGCACCCCATCGGCCGCGTTGGCCATGATGGGCTCCAGCGCCCTCCGGAAGCCCTCGACCTGGACCCATAGCGGCCGCAGCGACGCCCCCCGGTCAAAGAGGTCCAGGACGGTGACCTCGGTGCCAGGGTGGCTCTATGGGGCAGCCCCATAGCGGGACGGGGTCACACAAAGGGGATCTATGGGGCAGCCCCATAGCGGGACGGGGTCACACAAAGGGGATCTATGGGGCGGCCCCATAGCGGGAGGGGGTCACACAAAGGGGATCTATGGGGCAGCCCCATAGCGGGACGGGGTCACACAAAGGGGATCTATGGGGCAGCCCCATAGCGGGACGGGGTCACACAAAGGGGATCTATGGGGCGGCCCCATAGCGGGACGGGGTCACACAAAGGGGATCTATGGGGCGGCCCCATAGCGGGACGGGGTCACACAAAGGGGATCTATAGGGCAGCCCCATAGCGGGACGGGGTCACACAAAGGGGATCTATGGGGCAGCCCCATAGCGGGACGGGGTCACGCAAAGGGGATCTATGGGGCAGCCCCATAGCGGGAGGGGGTCACACAAAGGGGATCTATGGGGCAGCCCCATAGCGGGACGGGGTCACACAAAGGGGATCTATGGGGCGGCCCCATAGCGGGACGGGGTCACACAAAGGGGATCTATGGGGCGGCCCCATAGCGGGACGGGGTCACACAAAGGGGATCTATGGGGCAGCCCCATAGCGGGACGGGGTCACAAACGGGATCTATGGGGCAGCCCCATAGCGGGACGGGGTCACACAGAGGGGATCTATGGGGCAGCCCCATAGCGGGACGGGGTCACACAAAGGGGATCTATGGGGCAGCCCCATAGCGGGACGGGGTCACACGAAGGGGATCTATGGGGCAGCCCCATAGCGGGACGGGGTCACGCAAAGGGGATCTATGGGGCGGCCCCATAGCGGGACGGGGTCACGCAAAGGGGATCTATGGGGCAGCCCCATAGCGGGACGGGGTCACGCAAAGGGGATCTATGGGGCAGCCCCATAGCGGGACGGGGTCACGCAAAGGGGATCTATGGGGCAGCCCCATAGCGGGATGGGGTCACACAAAGGGGATCTATGGGGCAGCCCCATAGCGGGACGGGGTCACACAAAGGGGATCTATGGGGCAGCCCCATAGCGGGACGGGGTCACACAAAGGGGATCTATGGGGCGGCCCCATAGCGGGACTGGGTCACACAAAGGGGATCTATGGGGCAGCCCCATAGCGGGATGGGGTCACACAAAGGGGATCTATGGGGCAGCCCCATAGCGGGATGGGGTCACACAAAGGGGATCTATGGGGCAGCCCCATAGCGGGACGGGGTCACACAAAGGGGATCTATGGGGCAGCCCCATAGCGGGACGGGGTCACGCAAAGGGGATCTATGGGGCGGCCCCATAGCGGGACGGGGTCACACAAACGGGATCTATGGGGCGGCCCCATAGCGGGACGGGGTCACGCAAAGGGGATCTATGGGGCGGCCCCATAGCGGGACGGGGTCACACAAAGGGGATCTATGGGGCGGCCCCATAGCGGGAGGGGGTCACACAAAGGGGATCTATGGGGCGGCCCCATAGCGGGACGGGGTCACACAAAGGGGATCTATGGGGCGGCCCCATAGCGGGACGGGGTCACACAAAGGGGATCTATGGGGCAGCCCCATAGCGGGACGGGGTCACACAAAGGGGATCTATGGGGCGGCCCCATAGCGGGAGGGGGTCACACAAAGGGGATCTATGGGGCGGCCCCATAGCGGGACGGGGTCACACAAAGGGGATCTATGGGGCGGCCCCATAGCGGGACGGGGTCACACAAAGGGGATCTATGGGGCAGCCCCATAGCGGGACGGGGTCACGCAAAGGGGATCTATGGGGCGGCCCCATAGCGGGACGGGGTCACGCAAAGGGGATCTATGGGGCGGCCCCATAGCGGGACGGGGTCACGCAAAGGGGATCTATGGGGCGGCCCCATAGCGGGACGGGGTCACGCAAAGGGGATCTATGGGGCAGCCCCATAGCGGGACGGGGTCACGCAAAGGGGATCTATGGGGCGGCCCCATAGCGGGACGGGGTCACACAAAGGGGATCTATGGGGTGGCCCCATAGAGGATGGAGTATTTGGGGTATTTTATGCTATTTTTGGCCAATTTGGGTCCATTTTCACCCATTTTGGGTCTATTTTCACCTATTTTGGGTCATTTTCACCCATTTTTCATCTATTTTCGCTTTTTTTTGTCTATTTTCACCCATTTTGGGTCCATTTTCACCTATTTCGCGTCTATTATTGCCCATTTTGGGTCCATTTTTACCTATTTTGGGTCTATTTTCACCCAGTTTGGGTCTATTTTCACCTATTTTGGGTCTATTTTCGCCCATTTTGGGTCTATTTTTGCTCATTTTGTGTCTATTTTCAGCTATTTTAGGTCTATTTTCACCTATTTTGGGTTATTTTCACCCATTTTTGGTCTATTTCCACCCATTTTCGGCTCATTTTCACCTATTTTGGGTCTATTTTCACCCATTTTGGGTCAATTTTCACCTATTTTGGGACTATTTTCACCTATTTTGGTCTATTTTCACCCATTTTGGGTCTATTTTCACCCATTTTGGGTCCATTTTCACCTATTTTGGGTCCATTTTCACGTATTTTGGGTCTATTTTCACCCATTTTGGGTCTATTTTAACCTATTTTGGGTCTATTATTGACCATTTTTAGTCTATTTTCACCCATTTTGGGTCTATTTTCACCCATTTTGGGTCTATTTTCACCCATTTTGGGTCATTTTAACCGATTTCGGGTCTATTATTGCCCATTTTTAGTCTATTTTTGCCCATTTTTAGTCTATTTTTACCTATTTTGGGTCTATTTTCACCTACTTTTAGTCTATTTTCTCCCATTTTAGGTTATTTTCGCTCATTTTGGGTCTATTGTTACCTATTTTGGCTCTATTTTTGCTCATTTTTGGTCTATTTTCATCCATTTTGGGTCTATTTTCACCTATTTTGGGTTATTTTCACCCATTTTGGGTCCATTTCCACCCATTTTGGTCTATTTTCACCCATTTCAGGTCTATTTTCACCCATTTCGGGTCTATTTTCACCTATTTTAGGTCATTTTCACCCATTTTGGGTCCATTTCCACCCATTTTGGGTCTATTTTCACCCATTTCGGGTCTATTTTCACCTATTTTAGGTCATTTTCACCCATTTTGGGTCTATTTTCACCCATTTTGGGTCCATTTTCACCCATTTTGGGTCTATTTTAACCTATTTTGGGTCTATTTTCACCCATTTTGGGTCCATTTTCACCCATTTTGGGTCTATTTTCACCTATTTTGGGTCTATTTTCACCCATTTTGGGTCCATTTTCACCCATTTTGGGTCTATTTTAACCTATTTTGGGTCTATTTTCACCCATTTTGGGTCATTTTAACCTATTTTGGGTCTATTATTGCCCATTTTTAGTCTATTTTCACCCATTTTGGGTCTATTTTCACCCATTTTGGGTCATTTTAACCTATTTTGGGTCTATTATCACCCATTTTTAGTCTATTTTCACCCATTTTGGGTCATTTTAACCTATTTTGGGTCTATTATTGCCCATTTTTAGTCTATTTTCACCCATTTTGGGTCCATTTTCACCCATTTTGGGTCCATTTTCACCCATTTTGGGTCCATTTTCACCTATTTTGGGTCCATTTTCACCCATTTTGGGTCCATTTTCACCTATTTTGGGTCCATTTTCACCCATTTTGGGTCTATTTCCGCCCATTTTTGGCTCATTTTCACCCATTTTGGGTCTATTTTCACCTATTTTGGGTCTATTTTTATCTATTTTTGGTCTATTTTCACCTATTTTGGGTCTACTTTCACCCATTTTGGGTCTATTTTCACCCATTTTGGGTCCATTTTCACCTATTTTAGCTCATTTTCACCTATTTTGGGTCTATTTTCACCCATATCGGGTCTATTTTCGCCCATTTTGGGTCTGTTTTCACTCATTTCGGGTCTATTTTCTCCTATTTGCGGTTGTTTTACCCTATCTTTGGTCTATTATCGCCCATTTCGGGTCTATTTTCACCTATTTTAGGTCATTTTCACCCATTTCGGGTCCATTTTCACCCATTTTGGGTCTATTTTCACCTATTTTGGGCCTATTTCGGGCCTATCCCCTCCCGCTCCCCCCTCCCCTCCCGGCCTGTTCCATTCCCACACCCCTCGGGGGGGGTCGGTCTGAGTTGGGACATCCCATTCCCCTCCCCCCCGCCGTTTTTGGGTCCGTTTCGGGTCCTCACCTCCGCGATGAATCCCCGCAGGGCCCGGAAGTCCCCGGGGCCATCGAAGAGCCCGAACCGGGGGGGGGTGTCCAGGTTGGGGCCGGTTTCACCCATTTTGGGTCCATTTTCACCCATTTTGGGTCATTTTCACCTATTTCACGTCTATTATTGCCCATTTTTCTCAATTTTGGGTCCATTTTTACCTATTTTGGGTCTATTTTCACGCATTTTGGGTCTATTTTCACCCATTTTGGGTCCATTTTCACCTATTTTGTGTCTATTTTCACCCATTTTGGGTCCATTTTCACCCATTTTGGGTCATTTTCACCTATTTCACGTCTATTATTGCCCATTTTTAGTCTATTTTTCTCAATTTTGGGTCCATTTTTACCTATTTTGGGTCTATTTTCACGCATTTTGGGTCTATTTTCACCTATTTTGGGTCTATTTTCGCCCATTTTGGGTCTATTTTTGCCCATTTTGGGCCTATTTTCACCCATTTCAGGTCTATTTCCTTCATTTTTGGTCTATTTTCACCTATTTTGGGTCTATTTTTGCTCATTTTTGGTCCATTTTCACCTATTTGGGTCTATTTTCACCCATTTTGTGTCTATTTTCACCCATTTCGGGTCTATTTTCACCTGTTTCAGGCCTATTTTCACCCATTTTTGGCTCATTTTCACCCATTTTGGGTCTATTTTCACCCATTTTGTGTCTATTTTCACCCATTTTGGGTCTATTTTCACCCATTTGGGGTCCATTTTCACCCATTTGGGGTCCATTTTCACCCATTTGGGGTCCATTTTCACCCATTTTGGGTCTATTTCCACCTACTTTGGGCCTATTTCGGGCCCATCCCCTCCCGCTCTCTCCCCCTCCCCTCCCGGCCTGTTCCATTCCCACACCCCTCAGGGGGGGGTCGGTCTGAGTTGGGACATCCCATTTCCCCTCCCCCCCGCCGTTTTTGGGTCCGTTTCGGGTCCTCACCTCCGCGATGAATCCCCGCAGGGCCCGGAAGTCCCCGGGGCCATCGAAGAGCCCGTGCACGATCACCACGGGCCGGTGCGCGGAGCCCCGGCCCCCCCCGCCGCCGCCTCCACACAGCACCCACAGCCCCGCCGCCGCCATCATCAGCGCGGGCGCCACCATCGCACACACCTGGGGGGGGGGTTGGGGGGGGGCGAAACCAAAACCACACCAAAAAACAGAGGGGGGAGGGGGTCTTGTGCACCCCCACCCCCACCTCATTTTTACCCTCCCCATCCCCCACCAGCACCCAGCCGTGTTTACCTGCCGGCTCCCCGCCCCCATCGCTGACGTCATGTCCGGGGAGGAACTAACTCACACACCACCCCCCCCCCCAAGGTTGGGAATGGTTCCGCCCCGCGCTGGGTGTGAGGGAGGGAGGTGGGAGGGAAGCCACGCCCCCCCCTGTAGGCTCCGCCCCCCGTCTGTTTGTGCTTATGGGGCACTTGTGGGGCACTTGTGGGTCTCTATAGGGCACTTATGGGGCACTTATGGGTCTCTATAGGGAACTTATAGGTCTCTATAGGGCACTTGTGGGGCACTTATGGGTCTCTATAGGGCACTTATGGGTCTCTATAGGGCACTTGTGGGGCACTTGTGGGTCTCTATAGAACACTTATGGGTCTCTATAGGGCACTTGTGGGGCACTTATGGGTCTCTATAGGGAACTTATAGGTCTCTATAGGGCACTTGTGGGGCACTTATGGGTCTCTATAGGGCACTTATGGGGCACTTATGGGTCTCTATAGGGCACTTGTTAGTGCCTATGGGGCACTCGTGGGTCTCTATAGGGCACTTCAATGGGTCCCAATGGCATTCAATGGGTCCCAATGGCATTCAATGGGTCCCAATGATGTTCAATGGCATTCAATGGGTCCAATGATGTTCAATGGCATTCAATGGGTCCCAATGGCATTCAATGGGTCCCAATGACGTTCAATGACATTCAATGGGTCCCAATGGCATTCAATGGGTCCCAATGATGTTCAATGGCATTCAATGGGTCCAATGATGTTCAATGGCATTCAATGGGTCCCAATGGCATTCAATGGGTCCCAATGGCATTCAATGGGTCCCAATGATGTTCAATGGCATTCAATGGGTCCCAATGGCATTCAATGGGTCCCAATGATGTTCAATGGCATTCAATGGGTCCAATGATGTTCAATGGCATTCAATGGGTCCCAATGGCATTCAATGGGTCCCAATGGCATTCAATGGGTCCCAATGATGTTCAATGGCATTCAATGGGTCCCAATGGCATTCAATGGGTCCCAATGATGTTCAATGGCATTCAATGGGTCCAATGATGTTCAATGGCATTCAATGGGTCCCAATGGCATTCAATGGGTCCCAATGACGTTCAATGACATTCAATGGGTCCCAATGGCATTCAATGGGTCCCAATGACGTTCAATGACATTCAATGGGTCCCAATGGCATTCAATGGGTCCCAATGACGTTCAATGACATTCAATGGGTCCCAATGACATTCAATGGGTCCCAATGGCATTCAATGGGTCCCAATACTCTCCCCCCTGTGCCCCCCAGGTGCGCTCCCTGGAGGGCTGTTGGCTGCTGCTGGGGGGGGGGCCCTGTGGGGGTCTCCCATGGGGCCCCAAGGGGTGACCCCATGGACATCACCCCACACCCATCACCCCATCACCGCTATGGGGATGCAGCGACCACCCCACCCCCCCCCCCCCCGCCCCACAGCACCCACGGGGGAAACATGGGTGCCATGGACCCCCATTAACACCCCCGTGACCCCCATTAACACCCCCATGACCCCCCCATTAACTCCTCTATGAGCCCCCCATTAACACCCCTATGACCCCCATTAACACCCCTATGTGCCCCCCATTAACCCTCCTATGACCCCCCCATTAACACCTTATGAGCCCCCCATTAACACCCC